TTGGAACTATTTCTGGTGATAATTCTGTTACTTGTTCATCCTCTGTTGTTGACTCTGAAACTGCTATTGGTTTAATCGTTATTTTGTCATCAACAATAACTTGGTTTGTTGTAAGTGTAGGCTCTATCGTCTTTGGTCCTCTTTCAGGTGTTTCTTGTGTTACTTGTTCTTCCTCTGTTGTTGACTCTGAAACTGCTGTTGGTTTAATCGTTATTTTTTCATCAACAATAACTTGGTTTGCTTTTGGTGTTGGCTCTATTGTCTTCGGCCCTCTTTCTAGTGTTTTTTGTGTGACTTGTTCTTCCTCTGTTGTTGACTCTGAAACTGCTGTTGGTTTAATCGTTATTTTTTCATCAACAATAACTTGGTTTGTTGTTAGTGTTGGCTCTATCGTCTTTGGCCCTTTTTCTGGTGTTTTTTGTGTTACTTGTTCTTCCTCTGTTGTTGACTCTGAAATTGCTGTTGGTTTAATCGTTATTTTGTCATCAACAATAACTTGGTTTGTAGTTAGTGTTGGCTCTATCGTCTTTGGTCCTCTTTCAGGTGTTTCATGTGTTACTTGTTCTTCCTCTGTTGTTGTCTCTGAAACTGCTGTTGGTTTAATCGTTGTTTTGTCATCAACAATAACTTGGTTTGTTGTTAGTGTTGGCTCTATTGTCTTTGGTCCTCTTTCTGGTGTTTCTTGTGTTACTTGTTCTTCTTCTGTTGTTGATTCTGAAACTGCTGTTGGTTTAATCGTTATTTTGTCATCAACAATAACTTGGTTTGCTGTTGGTGTTGGCTCTATCGTCTTTGGTCCTCTTTCTTGTGTGTTTTGTGTTACTTGTTCTTCCTCTGTTGTTGATTCTGAAACTGCTGTTGGTTTAATCGTTATTTTGTCATCAACAATAACTTGGTTTGTTGTTAGTGTTGGCTCTATTGTCTTTGGTCCTCTTTCTGGTGTTTCTTGTGTTACTTGTTCTTCCTCTGTTGTTGATTGTGAAACTGCTGTTGGTTTAATTGTTATTTTGTCATCAACAATAACTTGGTTTGTTTTTGGTGTTGGCTCTATTGTCTTTGGTCCTCTTTCTGGTGTTTTTTGTGTTACTTGTTCTTTCTCTGTTGTTGACTCTGAAACTGCTGTTGGTTTAATCGTTATTTTGTCATCAACAATAACTTGGTTTGCTGTTGGTGTTGGCTCTATCGTCTTTGGTCCTCTTTCAGGTGTTTTTTGTGTGACTTGTTCTTCCTCTGTTGTTGACTCTGAAACTGCTGTTGGTTTAATCGTTATTTTGTCATCAACAATAACTTGGTTTGCTGTTGGTGTTGGCTCTATCGTCTTTGGTCCTCTTTCTGGTGTTTCTTGTGTTACTTTTTCTTCCTCTGTTGTTGACTCTGAAACTGCTGTTGGTTTAATCATTATTTTGTCATCAACAATAACTTGGTTTGTTGTTAGTGTTGGCTCTATTGTCTTCGGCCCTCTTTCTGGTGTTTCTTGTGTTACTTTTTCTTCCTCTGTTGTTGTCTCTGAAACTGCTGTTGGTTTAATCGTTATTTTTTCATCAACAACTACTTTGTCTGTAGTTACTTTTGGCTTTATTGTTTTTGGAACTATTTCTGGTGATTTCTGTATGACTTTTCGTTCCTCTGTTGTAGTGTCTAGAATTTGTGTTGGTTCAATTGTTTCTGACACTTCTATATGTGGTGTTAGCTTGTTGGTAACTAGTGTTTGCTGAATTGTCCTTGATAT